TGCCATCTGAGGACCAGGCCTATGGATCACCTTGAATTTAAAGGTCTAAAAAGCCAGATCCCACCAGGTGATCTGGGCGTTGGCATCCTTCATGCGCTGGAAGCACGGCAGCGGAGCAGGGTCTGAGCAGAGGGGAGGTTGCGATGGAAATTTTTTTTACCTTAGTGTACTGATCACGTGTTCTGACAATAGTATACATATGTATTAGTGATATTAGTTATATATGAAGGATAACTTGTTTCCCACTCGCTGGTTGAACAAGAAGGGTCCTTGCAACTGGAAGAGGGAAGTAACACAAGCACTTTGTCTCCCGGTGAAAACTGCCTGAGTCTAGCCCCTCTGTTGCTCTGTGCTGCTGGGACTTGAGCAGTGTCTCTCATGATAACCTCCCCAAAGTGTACAGCTTTGGTCTCAGGTCCAGAACCTACTGAATCTGATTTTTTGCTGGGCTTGGACCTTCCTCTCAGTTTTCTTTAAGCAGGTCCAACACCCCTGCGACTTTCTGCAGGGGGCACCTCACGCACTGCAAACAACAGAGGGTCTAACCAGCGATCACAATTGTGTTCATCCTTATGAATGAAATTCCGAATCATGGACTTTAAGGTCCATAATCCACGTGGATGTCCGGCCAATAACATCTGGCCATTATTCTTTCCAGAGTTTTGTCATAGACAACAACAACTGTGTGTGTTCCTCTGTGCGAGTATCACAAATTACTCAATAAAGCCTATCATTTAACAATATGAAGTGCAAGAAGGTCCATGCGGCTTCAGGGTGCACCAAGTAACCATTAATTTCTATCACTTAGTCAAAGTCTGAGTGTAGGGGTCATCATGAGATTGCTTCAGTGGAAAATTCCGTGGAGCGAATCGTTGGAGCCAGCAGGACCTTCTAGTGAGGTCTACTCAGTCAGTACACGCTACTAAAGGTTATGATCGCGAGCTAAGTGCAACCTTTATCCCATGCGTTTTTCCCTTGTATTTTAATAGCAGCAGCACAGTGGGGTATTTGTGAATATCCCCATGAACAACTTAATCTTCACCCACTCTGCTTCCAACAATGTCCTGGGGTGAACCGTGAACTAGGGTATGCTTGCAGCCCATGTCCACAAATACCCCCTTGACACCTTACCAGAGAGCAGCCAAAGCGGAACACCCAACTGACCTCCATCAGCTAACAATCCTGTAGTGGGTGTCCCGACCGACCACACTTTCAGCACTCCCACCCCTAGTGGCTTGGGTGCAGTGCCTGTTGTTGCCAGGGAACGACTGGGTTTGTGGAATGTAGTGGTGGCTAGCCCTAACCCACTTCGATGGGGCATGGCCTGCTGACCGGCTGGCTGCGGCCCTCCTCTGCTTGCCTCCATGCAGCCAGATGATCCTCAGCTAGGGTGACCACAGTTTCCAAACTCGCCAGCTGGTTGCAGCGGTCTCTATGGGCAGCCTCTGTCTGACACTGGGTGGGAAGTCTGAGACTAATTGTAGTTGGTTAGACAGGACGTCTTCTCAAGGTTGTACAGTTTGGTGGTGAGGATGTCTGGGATTGTGGTGATGAACGCTGAGCTGTAGTCCACAAAGAGCATCTTCATGTAGCTAATGTTGTTCTACAGAATGATCAGCGTTCTGTGAAGGGTGATGGCATCCTCCATGGACAAACTAAGTAAATGGTAAATGGTAAATGGTCTGTATTTGTATAGTGCTTTACTTGGTCCTAAGGACCCCAAAGCACTTTACACTATACACAATCATCCACCCATTCACACACTGGTGATAGCAAGCTACAGTGTAGCCACAGCCACCCTGGGGCGCACTGACAGAGGCGAAGTTAAGGTTTCCAGGTTCTGCAGTTTAAATATGGATGAGTCTCTCAGATCAAGACAGTCCTTTAGCTGAAGGAAA